ATGTTCATAACCTCAAGAGGAAAGGCTATTGGTGACATTTTTTTTTCTATTTTTTTGGTTAGATTTGTTTACAAAATTGAGTGAAGTAAGAAAAAATATTATTAAAGAAATGTCACTTTCTCTCATAATTAAACTTTGAATGTATTTCGAAATGTTTCAATGATATCTGGTCATTTTGATCTCAAAATACAAGTAACTCTATGACAATATGTATTAATAATTCAAAAAACACTTGTTCTATGTTCATTCAATTATAATTATTTACTAAAAAGATTTAATTTAGTAATATTAATTCTATTTTACAACATCATATACTATATATACGATACACACGTGCCATAAAATTAATTGTCAAAAATGTGTCAAAATGACATAGCGGGACCCTACATAAGGTGTCTAAAATGAACATCGCTCGGTTGAGGTGTCTAAGTGAACTTGGTGCCAACTTTAGGGGGGCAACCGATGGCTTTGGCCTAATTTAACATTCAAGTTAGAGAGTTCATACTTTAAGTTAGTATATATATATATATATATATATATATATATATATATATATATATATATATATATATACAAACACAATAATTATTATGATTCAAATAAAATAGTAGTTCAATATTACATTAACAAAATATTTGATAAAATAGAACTACATGAATTACATATATAAATTATAAAAATAAAAATAATTGTTAGAAAAAAAATTAGTCATCATTTTTTGAAAACAAACATTCAAAAAAAACTAATCTTAAGTACATAGATGAAATATCTCTACGTTCAATAATGTGTTTGCCCATGTACTCTTTTCTAAAATAAATAATGAAGATGATACATTCAAATGATTTCAAACAAATTTATAAAGGCACCATAGTCCGATTTCAACAACACATATATATGAAGTTGCTTTGCACTTTACTCAAATAATTTTTAAAAAATAATTTTTATCAATTCTTGATAAACAAGTAGTAAGAACAAAAATTAAAATTTTAAGGAAAATAATTTCGATAAATAATAAAGTTGGAGAATGAAAGAGACTTGAAGTTTATTTTATTTCGAAGAAAAAAATTTGGAGCACAATTTTTTTTCTGAAAATAAAAGTGTCTTTAAAAGAGTTTGAATGAGAATAAGAATTTGTTACATATCTGATTCATTCAGACCTTTTCAAACCATTAAGAGATTTTTAAATTAAAAAACACAACTAATGACCTAATGTCTGAATCATTCAGATTCAGATCACCATTAAGTGCAAACAAATGAGGTCTTAGAGTAGAAATGATGATAACAAATTCTTTATATTAAAATCTTCTCATGAAGGGGTAATCATTGTGTACTAAGGTCCTTTAATAAAGATTGTTTTTGATGAATGGATGAATAAATTAATTCGACGTTTAAGTGCCGACAACGAATTATGGTGATATTTTCTTATTGGGCCAAAAGACTTTAGAAGACATATAGATTTGTCAGTTTGGCACAGTGAATATACCTAAATGAGTTGATAGTAAATTATTTGTTTGAGTTTTTATGTCTAAGAACTATAACTCTGATTAAAATACAAGTACATAAAGTAGTTAATATTTCGATTTGAAGACAAAGAACCTCTTCTCCCAAAGAAAGAGGAATGGGAAAAACAAAAAATTCAAGATCTTTTTGTTGAAATGGACATGTATGTCTTGCAATCACATATTGCCTTGACGAATCCATCAGTTTTTGTCACAACTCAGACCATCGTGATTGGCACCCACACTAACCCTCCAATGGGAGAACCACTACTACAACCCAAACCAAGCAACTAAACCAAACTAAAGCATTTAAGTTACAGAAGCAAGTTAAATACTAAGGAAAGAAATAGGGAGTTCCCCTAAACTCCAAAAAAGTCTAAGAACGAACTAAATAATGTAGAAGAGATAACCTAGAACCTGAAAGTCAATGTACCAAAACATCTAAAGTTCAATAAGTCTAAACAAGAAGGGATACAACCCCAAACTAATGTACTAATAACTAATATAAATGTCTAAGTCTGGAAATGTGGACATAGACGAAGGGAGAACTCATGGCAGCTCGGAAGAATTGGCCCACCCTTGAATTCAAACGACGATCACTGATCTTCTAAGCGAGGTCTATCAGTAGTCGCTTGAAGATTCCTTGTACTCAATAAAAATAAGAGCAAGTGCAGTATCAGTACACAACCACAGTGTACTGGTAGGATCACACGGCTTTCCCACTAAGTGTAGCATAAGAAAGTCAATAATATAATCACATGCATATATCAAACATATACAATATCATCAACATTTACGAACAACGAACAACTTCACATTTCTCAAGATACACATTTATGACAAGTCATTGGTCCTCTCATGGAACCCAAACCCAAACAGTTAGCATACCAGAACGTGGTACCCGATCCAATGATTATGCCAGAATGTGGCAATTGATCCCTTAATTATGCCAGAACATGGCAGCCGATCCCATAATTATGTCGGAACGTGGCAATCGATCCAAGTTAGTTATGCCGGAACATGGCAATCGATCCATTCAACACACCACAATCCCAATCACAAGTATATCATTAAGATCATACAATTAAGTCAAGATTTCATGGTAACCATCATTCATCTAACTAATTTACAACAAGTGTGAACAATAATGCAACATTCATATACATACATGTATCATAATGAAGAAAGAACAAACATGCATCACACAATCATAGAATCACAACCATCACCTACCTCAAAACAAGCTTAAAACCCTAGGAAACTTGATCCTTCCCTTTCCGGATTCGTTCCTCTTGTTCTTGGTCTACAAACACTCATAATAACACGAAAATCAATAAACAATCACTAATTACCTGGATTACTAACAATTCTAACAACCCTAGATCATACCCATGATCCCAAGTATCCAACTAGAGCTTTTTCCACCATAGAATCTATATGAGAAACCCTCCCCCATCATTAATTACCTATTCTATTATGTTCTACGGATTGAAAAATGGATTCGGGGAGTGAAAAACTTACCTTTAGCCACAAGAATGGTGGGAAACTTTTAGGAGTCACATGGGGTTCGTTCTTTAGCTCTAAAAATTGAAAAGTGCAGAATGAGGTCGTTTAGGGGTTTACTTACGACCTTAAGTCACCTCGAACCCACCACAACTTTCCTCATCCCACTTCAGCGACCCTGCTAGAGCGGCCAAAACCCCCCACCAAGGCGGCTTGCATGAACCGGTGAGCTATTTAAAGAATTCCAAAATCCCCATTTCACAACACACTTCTAACCCACAATGCTCAGAAAATACCCTTCACGCTAAGGTCGATTCCGGGAGTTGTACTCGCCCAAATTCAATTCCGTAAAGTCGTTTGGATTCCTTAATGAGTTATCTAACTACTCATGTAATCTAAATCATAATTAACTCCCTCGATTGTTACCAAATTTCCCTACACCTTAAAGACTCCAATTTCGTCCAAATCTAGACTAGGTTGGCAAAATCTAAATACTAAGAAAAAGTTTTTTGGCTCCAAATTTTCTCCCGTTGGCTTCTCTATAATGACGAAACCTGGTCGTTACAATAGATACCAATTGACCCATCACTCTTCCCCTAGTGGCAAACTTAGGGAAAAGAGGCGAAGGAAGGAATGTAGTAGTTCCTGAATGGACGAACAATTGGGGATACTTGTCTTGCATGTCCCTCTCAGTTTCCTAAGTAGCTTCCTCAACTGGACGATGCTTCCATTGAACCTTCACGGACTTAATCTCCTCGGTCCTCAACTTACGCACATCACGATAAAGAATTACAATCGGTTCCTCCTCATATTGGAGGTCCTTGTCTAACACAATTGAATCCCACTTAATGATGTAATCCCTGTCACCATGAGATCTTTTCAACATGGACATATGAAATACCAGATGAAATCCCAATAGATTAGGAGGTAAAGTCAATCTATACGCTAACGATCCTACACACTTGAGAACCTCAAAGGGACCAATGTATCACAGACTTAGTTTGCCCTTCTTGCCAAATCTCATTACCCCATTCATGGGTGATACCTTAAGAAGAACATTCTCACTGGTTTGCAATGCCATGTCTCTCACCTTATGATCTGCATACTTCTTCTGTCTACTCTGGGCTGCTAGAAGCTTAGCTTGAATACGGCTCACCTTATCTTGAGTATCCTTCACTAAATTAACCCCCAATGGTTTCATATCTCCAGCCTCAAATCATCCTATGGGTGATCTACATCCCCTCCCATAGAGTGCCTCAAACGGTGTCATATCTATGCTGGAGTGATAACTATTATTATAGGAAAACTCACACAAAGGTATGAATTTATCCAAATACCCTCCAAAATTAAGCACAAATGCCCTCAACATGTCTTCTAACACTTGAATAGTCCTCTCTGACTGTCCGTCTGTCTGTGGATGGAAGGCTGTACTAAAAGTGAGTTGTGTGCCCAATTCATCATGTAATTTCCTCCAAAACTTGGATGTGAATTGGGTACCACGGTCTGATAAGATAGAAAGGGGCACACCATGCAACCTCACTATCTCTTTCACGTAAACTTTAGCCAATTGTTCAACATTATAATCTATTCTTACCGGAATAAGTTGGGCTGACTTGGTCAATCTATCAACAACTACCCAAATAGAATCAAACTTCCCCAAAGTTTTGGGAAGCCAACTACAAAATCCATGGCTATTCTTTCCCACTTCTATTCCAAAATTTGCATTCTTTGAAGCAAGCCTGCATGCCTTTGATGTTCATACTTCACTTGTTGACAATTTGGACACTTCGCCACAAATTCTGCTATATCCTTCTTCATGCCCGGCCACCAATAAATTCTCTTCAAATCTCGATATATCTTGGTCACACCCAGATGAATAGAATATCGTGAACCATGAGACTCTGCCAACAATTTCTCAATCAAGTCATCTACTCTAGGAACACATATTCTCCCTTTAAAATTGAGCACTACATCCACATTAAGGGTGGTCTCTTGTACCTTACCATTCACAGTCTTCTTCCTAAGCTCCTCCAAATTCTCATCCTCAAATTGTTTGGCCTTGATCTTCTCAATGATTATGGCCCTTACTTCAATACTAGCTAATAACCCACCTCTTTCTGAGATGCCCAACTGCATGAATTTAGACTCCAAGGTCTGAATTTCCTTAGAGAAAGGTTGGTTGGTTACACTCAAGCAAGCTAAACTACCCATACTCACCGATTTTTTACTCAAAGCGTTTGCCACCACATTTGCCTTACTCGAATGGTATTGAATGGTGACATCATAATCTTTAAGTAACTTTATCCACCTTCGCTGTCTCAAATTCAGATCCTTTAGTGTGAACACATGCTGCGAACTACGATGATCAGTAAATACCTCACATTTAACACCATAGAGGTAATGTCGCCATATCTTAAGAGCAAACACTATCGCTGCCAACTCTAAATCATGTGTTGGATAATTCCTCTCATGCACCTTCAATTGACGTGAGGCATAAGCTATAACATTCTTATCATGCATTAACACATCACCCAAACTAGAATGTAAAGCATCACAATAAACAATAAAATCTTTACCTTCAACCAGTAATGCTAGAATAGGTGCGGTGGTCAAAAGAGTTTTGAGCTTTTGGAAGATCTCCTCACATTTTCAGTCCATTCAAATGGTATCTCCTTTTTGGTCAAATTAGTCAAGTGGGTGGCAATAGAAGAAAAGTTCTTCAAAAATCGATGATAATAGCTAGAGAGCCCCAAAAAACTCCTAACTTCAATTGCAAAACTTGGTAGAACCCAATTCTTAACCGCCTCAATCTTTTGAGGATCTACCATTACCCTTTCTTTCGAAACTACATGCCCAAAGAATGCAACAGAAGTCAACCAAAATTCACCCTTAGAAAATTTAGCATACAACTTTTGTTTCCCAAGAACACCTAGAACAATACGAAGATGGTCGACATGCTCTTCCTCACTTTTCGAATAGACCAAAATATCATCAATAAAGACTATGACAAATGAATCAAGAAATGGCTTGAACACCCCGTTCATTAAACTCATAAAAGCTACAGGCGCATTAGTTAAACCAAAAGACATAACCAAAAACTCATAGTGCCCATAGCGGGTTCTAAACGCCGTCTTAGGCACATCTTTGAGCCTAATTTTCAATTGATGGTACCAGACCTTAGATCAATCTTAGAGAAAACTGATACACCTTGCAATTGATCAAAAATATCATCTATTCGAGGCAAGGGATACTTATTTCGAATAGTGAACCTATTCAATTGCGAGTAATCTATACACATTCTCATACTACCATCATTTTTCTTAACAAACAAAATTGGGGCACCCCATGGGGAAGCACTAGGACGAATAAATCCCTTATCAAGAAGCTCTTGGATTTGCGCATTAAGCTCTCTCAATTATGCTGGAGCCATGCGATATGGAGGGATAGAAATGGGTCGTGTACTAGGCTCTAAATCAATGCAGAAATCTATATCTCTATCCAGAGGCATACCAGGAAAGTCATTCAGAAACACTTCTCTAAATTCCGACACCACATGAATAGACTCAATAGATGGAGTCTCAACCTCCACATCCTTAACATGAGCCAAATAAGCCAAACAACCCTGCCCTACCAATTTTCTAGCCCGAATGAACGATATGATCTTAGCTTGCTTAGGTTGTACACCTCTTCCCACTATAATTTTTCCTTTCCTAAAATTTCTAGAGTTACATAATTTTAGTATTACAATTAAACAGAGCATAATAGGGGGACAACGAAGTCATGCCTAAGATTATGTCAAAGTCAGTCATATCCAAAATCACCAAATCAGCCCAAGTCTGAAAACCCATAAACAAAATAAGACAAGCTCGTTAGATATGGGTAACTATGACTGACTCTCCAACTGGGGTAGAAACATGGATAGGGGCATCAAGTATATCACAAATCATATCAAATTTTGAGGCAAATCGTACGGATACATAAGAATAAGTAGAATCCGGATCAAATAACACATTAGACATCTGGTCATAGACAAGAATAGGTCATATGATCACTGCATCAGATGCCTCTGCGTCATTCTTGTCCAGAAATGCATAACACTGAGCCCTATCATCTTGACGAGCGACTTTTCCCTGCCTAGTTGCGCGTTACCCCTGCCTGCATTACCATTTCCTCTACCTCAATGGACTAACTGATTACCTCCTCACCCACCTTGTGGACATCCTCTACCATTATTACCATTCCCGCAAGGTACCACTGCTCTAGACTGCTGTTGCGCGGAATCTAACACATGTGGGTGGGGACAATCTCTCCTTATATGCCCAGGTTCACCACAGTTGTAACATGTTCGATCAAAAAATGGCTTGCTGCCCGCAGAAGGTGCCACTCCCTGGCTATCCCAAATCGAATTATAAGGTGGAGTTCTTGAGTAATTACCTGTAGAGGCGGGCATAATGGACTGAATTGGCTTGGCTGTAAGCATTGGCCTTTTGGACCCCTTGGAGTAAGAACCTTGAAAGTTACCCGAGTTCTTGGCCCTTTTTGTAATCTACACCCTGGACGTGGTCGACACTCAAGAACCATTGCTGGTCCCCAAGCGAACCCTCATCCTAACTGACTACAAGTGGAAGACTAACGCAATCATACAATAAAAATTCATGAAACTGAAATACAAATCTTTAACTCAAATGAAAAACTCTGAATATAAAAATAATATTCAACTCGCCATAAATTAGGCAACTTAAGTCTTTAAACATTTAACAAAATAAATGATACAGACTTCTCAACTATACCGACTATCCATGAAGCATCTAATTGTTAAAGATGGAAGTCGGGACAAGACCCACGACATCCTAACTAAACTGAAAAGTAAATGAAATCCTCCGGAAACAAGGAGGCTCACCATAGCTAACTCGAACTTACGCATATATCAACGAAGCTCCTGTAGATTACCCTAAATAACTGTGTCTGCATCATGAGAAGATGCAGGCCAAATGGCTCAGTACGTGGAATGTACGAGCATTTAAGAGGAATTCTAAAGCATTAACATAAGCTTTAACTCTGATAAAAAGGAAACATGCTTATCTCTTCTGAACTCACTCAACTCAAAGAAACAAAGCTAAACTCAATGATAAGTTATTCAACTCAGAGGTGTACTCAAGGATACTCAAAACTACTCAAACTTACTAAACTCAGAAGTACTCAAGTATAAGATACTTAACTCGAAATACTCAAGGATAATGCAACAGTAAAAGATGCAATATATATGAAAAGATGTAAAAAGGTAGATAGCAACTCAATGTATTGAAAAATACAATAATACTAAGTATGTATATAAAAATACTATTTAACTCTGTGGGAGATTCTGTTACCGACAACCACCACTATGAGCCTAAGTGGTGATACAATGTTTTACCTCACGCTGCCAAGGACCGTCCTATACCTTGCCGGGGGTATAGAACCCAACTCACTAAGTGGATTCACTAGTCTATGCTAAAAGAATCTTAAGGAGTTATCTAAAAAGTATGATCCTTTACTATCCATGAAGGCTACATGGTTTATGGAGACTTTAGTTATCTGAACTAGCAACCCCATATCGGTGCTCAATACTAATCCAAAAATATACATAGCTCATATGTTTGTAAAAACAAAACTCTTTCTTTGGTTTGAGATAATTACTCAACACTTAGCTTAAAAGCCCTCTTGGAAATCATAGTTTCCTTTTTACTGAAAAAACTAGCTCAAAGGCTCTTTTGAAATCTCATTTTCCTTTCTTGTATAAATGTGAAAACATTTACTCTTTGGGAATACATAGTCTCGATATACTCTTTTGAAGAGATGAACTCAACTCTTTACTCTCTACTCTTTATTATTTTCTTAACTCAAAACTTAAGTCTTAAAACAAAGTTAAAACGTTTGTAAAAGACTTCTTAAAATGAGGTTCATGCCGAATTATGGACTTGAATGACTCAATGGAAGGTTTTCAATAACCATAGATAAAACTCAATACTTGGAACTCAAGAACTTCAATGATACAACCCATTTAAAGAATGCTCAACTTGGAGGGTTCATGCGGAATTATGAGCATGAACTACTCAACTCAAGGATTCAAAGACATTTCTCATCTCAAGATTGTTCGACTTATAGGGTTCATGAGGAATTATGGGCATGAACAATTCAACTCAAGGACTTTATGGGTAACATGTAATAGTCCCATGATTAGAAATATAAACTCAAATGTGTTAGAAACTTATTACTAAAGACTTAGAACTTGAAGATACCACTCCTCTCAATGATACTCAATTTGTGGAGTCCATGCGGAATTTATGGGCATAAACGACTCGACTCGAAGGTCTACAGAACTACATGGACCTCATGTATACAAATCTTATCATTCTCTTACTTACTTCCTCAAAAATTATTTCAAATAAATGATGGATCTCAAAGAATTCACAATTGTACGCAAAGGCTTTCTTGAACTCTACTCTTAACTCTCTCTTGAATGTGAATTATGAATTCAGGAGTTTTGGTTCATGACATGGAGGATCTCATGATGACAAGGTAGACTCATGAATAAATTCTCTTCATCCTCATACTCACTTGATCGAGTCTTGAAACAAGTTACTAGAAGTTGTAGAAGACTCCATAAAAGGACTCAAAGAGACTTTCTTAGAATGTTCGAAATAATTCTCAAAACTTAACTCTTTACTCTACCTTAAATTTAAATTATGAATTCAAGGTTATGATCATTTTATGAATGATATCTAGGTGTTTAGAAGTAGTTTAGAATCAAAGGGGAGTATAGGTACCGTTTGAAAGAACACAAACGGATGAAACGATGAAGAACAAGTGGGGGCAGGTGACCCTAGCGCTCTGAGTGGTGCGGGGCGCCAGCCTCTAAATTTTAGAGAGGTGGTTGAGGCGTTCTGGCTGGCGTGACACGCTAGGCCCCAACACAAAATATTCAACGACTTTCTTTGCTCGTTTTCTCACCTCAACTCGCCTAGAATCGAACGATTTCTTCCCCAATCACTTGGATTCGATTACTTAACATAATTACACTCTAATATACTAAAAAAAACACTCAAATAACTAAATTTCATCTCAAGAAATCATCAAAACCCCAACACAACAAGATTTTGAATGAACTTTAAGAACACCTATCAAGAACTCTAATTTTTCAACTTCAAGAATGATTTTTTTTATAATAATATGATAACCCATGGTGAAAATCTGCAACAAAATGCAAGACTCTCGACGAACGCTTTGATCATCTCCTCTTTTCTCCTATTTTCTCTTCTTTTCTCTTCTTGAACTCTCAACTAAAACCCTAGGCTAATTTTAGGATTATAAAACTGAACCTAATAGGATTAGATCCTTAAAACCTTACTAAAAACGAATTAAATCTTATTTGCTAAGGAAAAGACCAAAATAGCCCTCTAAAATCCAGTTTTGACTTTTATTATCTAGACAACCCAACTTCGAATGCAGACATCTCCCTCATACGAACTTGAAACCTAGCAAACTCGGTGGCATTGGAAATATAATTGATAGATATTTCCTATGGTATCTAGTAGAACACCTAACTCATCCTGAGCTAGGAGTTATGGTCATTTGAAGTCAACCAAAATTTCAGATTTTTGCTAATTCCAATTTATTTCTTTTTGAAACTCAATGTTCTACATCTAGTGACCTGGCCTTAATACTTAAGAAATTTTAAATTCCTTCGTAAAATCCTACTCACAACGAAGGACGGTTCAAGTCTTAGCTCAAAAAAAATTCTGGGGTGTTACAATATCTCCCCCTTGGGATCATTCGTCCTCGAATGACGACTGGACTGGGTTACTCTTATTAAGGTGTGCGTATAATGGTATGCTCTTAATATATTTAAGCTTAGCCCAAATCCCCCCAAACTCTTTGAATTAATTACCATCTTAATCTCAAACACTTGACTCGATTTCTCATCTTGTCATCTCCCCCTTAGGTCTAAAGCTAACATTTGAAAGCTATAGACATATTCCATCATCTGTAAATGGTCTACCTCTTCTTTTAATCTAACACTTTGGAGAAATTTATCTCATGCCTACAAAACTCTCTATAAGCGGTACTAAGACCTCTTTCTAAGGTGTTTCCCTTAACCTCTTCTGGTTGCATACCCTCTCGGTACACCTCTTAAAGCTCTTATTACTCTTGTGACTTAGCCACACTTCACTGCCCTTATCTAAAGGTTAGGGTCTCCAACTTGTACCACTCATATCTATTCCAGCTAACATCTCAATTCCTCAAGTCTTCTAGATCAAACCTCAAGACTAAAATCAGCACCCTCATGTTTCCATTCTTTTAATCATGACACTCATCTCAAATTCAAGCTTAATATTTATTACTAAACCCAAATATCAATACGATTGCTCACCTACTATACTATACTTTATTACTTAATCAGTTTTATAACCTTATGATCATCATGACCCTCTCAAACAAATCATAAGCCTAACATAGATCTATCACTTTATGAATACTTGTGCTCTCTTATTCAACACATGAATTTAGTCTCCTCTAATATTATGACACATTGACATCAACTCTATTCTAGTTAACAAATATATACTCTATCTCATCTTGACTTGAAACTCTTACTGTACCCATAAGGGAAAACTCCTCATCAATAACTTACTGGGTGCATGACAATAGTAATATAGCTCTTCAAAACACTATATTCCCTTCTGAAATCACTAAACCTCTGCATACTTTCCTCTAACTCTGGGCTCTATCACTACTACTACTCATGATCTCGTAGCTCATGCTACCTTTTCGGGCGAAAATACTAACCAAGCTCTAAACATACCACCTCATAAGGATCTGAGCTGAAACAAAGCTTAAGGAAAATAGTACAACTCGCTTTAAGCTCAACGCATGATTCATATAATATGAGTGCATTCCTTATGAACTCAGCACTTAACTTACACATAGGCTTCTCTCAAGCCCCTCTGAAGTCTCATGACTTCCTCAAGATTTATGCTAAGAACAACTCATCGATAAAGGATTGACTTTTCTATTCAACCACCTATAGTATGATGGGTAGTCAAAGAAATTCGTTAAACGCACGAGTATGAATAAATCTCTATGACATAGCTCTATTGCACGATTAAGAGTATGAAAGAAGGGAAATATTTCCTAAATGTCTGTAGTCACTTATTTATAGAAGTGGGCCCTCACAACCATAAATAAGATCCTACTTGACACG